GGGAGTAGGGCTCCCAAGAGCGCCTGCTGTTTTTTTTCTCCTTTGAATTTTGCCTGTTGCTATAAAAGGAAATTTTTGGAAAAAAAAGATTTGCGGGAAAGAGTTTTTTTTTTATATGTATATTGTTTAAAAATAGGATTCAAAAAAATCATATATAGCATTTTTGTTATCTTTAAAAATAATTACCTATATATCAAGTTAACTTTAAAAAACAAGTATATTAAATCTTAATTATAATTTAAAAACAAATTTATATACTTAACTATAATACTTTCATATAATTAAATATATTATTTTATTTTATAAAATGGTTTTATCTATAGTTATAATATATAATTTTGAAATTTATTTTAATATGCTTATAATATTAATTGGTTTTTTATTAATAACAATTAAACTTATTAAAAAATTATAAGAAACAAAATATTATTCTACTCTCAATTTGTATTTTCCCAAATTATTAGCAAATAAAAAATAGTGAAAATATATTACTTTAATATTTTTTTTAAAAAAAATAAATTTATTAATTAAAATATTTATATAAAAATAAAAAACCAATTATTATTAAATATGCACCGTTGCATAATTTGCCTCTCAAAAACAAACAAACGCAATTATTATTTTATAAATTTTTTTTTTTTAATCTATAATTTTATAAATTTACAAAATATATCATAATATTTTTTAAATTTACATGTTTGTGTTCAATAAAAACTGTTAAAATTTTTGAATTGATTTGCCCAGTAATAATACATGGTAATGATATGCGTTAAATTTTCTTGATTTGGATTACTTTGTTTGTAAATTTAAATTACACGTTTAATCATTATAAACATTTATACATTAATATAAATTACCAGTTTATTTGCTTTTAATTAAGGAAAAATATAGTTTACATAATAATTATAAATACATATAAAAGTACACTTGTTTTTAATAAATTAAACCAGTGTACTTTCTATTTATAAAACTTTATTCTTTACCAATGATTTGACTTGCTTTTTACAAATTTCTAGACTCCGCGAACGTTTTTCTCCGTGGAATGTATCAAGAATAAATCACCCAAGAATAGTAATGACTAATTGTAAAGAAAATATTTCTATTATCAACATAAAAAAAGCGCGGAACTTTGAATAAATGATACATTTATATATTTTTTGATAGAATAAAAATTAGTTGCATGAAAAAATTGGAATAATCTTTACCAAGCGAATTAATTAGGTACTACTGATTTCTTTTCATTAATCTTCAAACTGAACGTATTTTATAAAATTACCATAAGCGACAGCTACTCCATCATCCCCAACTTTAACCACCTGTCTTATGTAAGCAAATGGTAATAGCTCATTCATTTCGTCTTCCTCCTCGAGTAGTGCCAACTGCCGGTCATTCTTACCGTCAGGATATACACGGTGCCTTGGACTACGCTGCCGGAAATCCACAACTTGCCCTTGCGTGTCTTCCTCCTCGTGGTCATGTGAATGATCATGATCATGATCATGGTGATCGTGGTGATCATGATGGTGAGATGTATTTGGAAATTTGCCCTTGAATGTCAGGTTTCTCCGTCGACGAACAAATCCTTTTAATTCTCCCACACCTTCTTTATCACGTCGTTTTATCTCTTCTTTTTTCATTTTTTGTTGTTCTTCGGTAACTAAATCTTTTTCGGAAACCAATGGAATGACTTGAACAACCAACTCAACATCTTCTTCATATTCATCCAAATCATCATGCTCTCTATCTTTCTCAATTATCTGGGCATCATTAATATCCAATATCCATAATTCCCATTCACCTTCTGCGCCATGACACCGTTTCTGAGGTTGCACTGATTCGCGCGAATTTTTGACACGACGAGCACCAATTATGTTCTCTCGAAGGAACACGATAGCCGAACCACCAGGTTGACTGACGCGTCCAATGAATTTGGTTTGATAAGATGCTACCCCGCCAAATTGTGCAATATGTTGATAGCACTCTGAGATATTTACAAAAGGATTTTGTATATACGGTTGCTTTAATTTAAACGCCATACATGTACAATCCATTACGCTTCGTATTAGTTGCCATACATGTACCTTTTCATCTCCGGATGAGGTTATTATTGCGAACCCTCCAGCTTCCTCGGTAATTCCACAAGGACAACTCTGTTTCTTTAGAGGATGAATTATTATGTTGGTAATATGGTCTTGATGATGAGTCATATCATAATCATTGTCATAATCTGTTTCATCATCAAGATCGTCATAAAAATCTTGATCTAATTCGGAAGAATTATTTTCATTTTGAGTTTGAAGCTGTATCCGCCTTTGTAACAAGAGTTTTTCTCTCTCTTCGGCACGACGTTTTTTTCCAATGGTTCCCTGACTTAGCGTTTCAATATGTCTTCCTGTCAAATAATCATAAACTCTCACTTCACCATCAGAGGCACCGGTAACCACAATACCAAGATAACCGTCTTGAGTTTTTATTGTTTTAGCAGCAATACTAGTGATTGGGTTACCAGGTTCCCCGGAAATCGTATAGGGTGATTTCCATCGACTCCTGCGTAGTTCTTTTGGATCTGTATGAGAGTTTATTGGTTCATTTTCTGAATAATAAATCGTACGAATCCAACACTTGACAGAACCGTCTCGTGCACCGGTATAAATTCGCAAATCATCTTGATCGTAATCCTGTTTACCATCGTCAACGACGCAAAGATAACTTATACCTCCTTTCTGGTTGGTGGGAACAGTGTGAGCGATTTGACCAGAAACAAGATCCCACTCACGAAAATATCCACTTTTGTAAGTTGCTAGGAGCATTGCAGGTGTTTTATGATTTGAATCCGTCGCGAAATATGGGTATCCACGTTCTTGACTTGGCGTATTGTTCATTGAAGAAGAATTCGGTACGATAATCTGTAAACAGGTGACGCGCTCTCTTATCAGATTTCCTGTCATCACAGATACTACCGATTCTACGTCCTCAACAGTATCCTTCAAAATATACGTGGCCTGACCAGAATGAATATTCCAGACTCTCACAACCCCGTCCTCAAATCCAGCTGCTGCCCACTCAACTTTTTCACTCATACACATTGCCCTAACTGGCCAAGAAATGCATTTTTTCATTCCTCCCGTAACGCCACATTTACATGATTCACAACGACGCATATACCTTTCAAGCTTTTTCAATGATATTCCTTGCCTCCCGTTCCATGATGTTATATGTTTATCCATAGCGGTGGATATGATCATCCCATTAGCATTCGCGCATAGTAGATCAACGTCGGCCAAATGGCGACCACGTAAGGTGGTAACTTTCGGAGAAATAATGTTAGACGATGAAATAACGATAGTGTTTCCCATGGAACTATTAGAGCCAGCTGATGATTTAATGTCTTTATCCTTCGGATCTAAGGGTACCAAATAATCGACCAGGGAGTATATGGTATATACAATCACAGCAACAGGGAGTATCACAAACTTGAAGAACCAAATAAGACTTCTCAACGTCGTTTTCACGCTCGATTTCCATCCGTCCAGATGATGTGGAGTTTTTGTTGAAATATCTGGATCTTTAATATTATTGTCATCAAGCAAAGTCAGGTATCTTGTGGGTCGAATTTCTGCATATTGATCTTCCATCAGTGGATTCACAATATGCCAAAATTCATTCTCTGTTGCTGCTGGGGAAGTTTCCCAAAATGCGGGATCTACAACAGACTGATCCAAATCATAACCAGGAAACAGCGATTTGATTTTTGATAGGTTAAGATTTTGTTGATTAACGAAGAGAACGATTAGGATGATAACCTTTAATTGGTAATGGAAACAAGTGAATAAATCTGTAAAATTTCCAGCGAACAAAAACCCAGTTCGTTGTTATCGGATCACTCAAATACACACCATTAAAAAACTTAAAATTCTACTACTATTCCTGGTTTTTGAATTCGACTTAACAATGTCACCAGTTCCACTATTCAGTTCAGAATCGGCGGTGATCGGTGGTGTACGATTGTACAAATTAGATATCTAAAAATTGTTGAAAGCATGAAAGCACAGGTAATCTCTATGTGAAAGAGTCGCAGATGACTTGTTGATGTATTGCAATAACTACCTCGTATTCCAACCTTCGAAGGTCAATTGACAAAATGGTGACAAAAAAAGACATTTGCAGGAC